TAAACTGGATGCAGTATTCCAAGTGTGGTCTTACCAAGATGGCACTAACACTTCACCTGATCTTGATTCTATCCCTCTGTTAATGCAGCCTAGGATTGCATTAGCTGGCAGCTGCAGCATACTGCTGACTTATATTTAAGTGATTGTAAAGTGATAATAATTTTTCTATGTTCATTGTTCACATTATTTTTGCTGTAAACCGCCCAGAGTCCCTTGGGAGTTGGGTGGCATAGAAATGCGATAAATTAAATTAAATTAAATTAAATTAATTGTCCACTAGGACTCCCAGACCGATCCCTCTCTTCCTCCCTCTCTCTCCCTTTTAATATTTTGTTATGGTACTATTTGGTGAGTAAGCATAAAGCATCTTTATGTGTACCGAACTCTGCTAACTATTCCTCATCTTTAAGAAATAGGTTGCTCCGTTAGAAACCCACAGAAGCAAGTGTAGGGAACTCATCCCTGGTGGTTTCAGCTCTAACCCTGCTGTAAACACAGCATATGAATCACCACATCCTTCATCCCCTTCATTGTCCCCAAGACTATTAAAGTTTAATCATCATCATCTTCTTTTTTTTCCCTCAGGAACAGATTTTCCTGGAACTTTTTGTGGCCAAGTAAATTATTAATGCCATTAAAATTTATATTTTTTTCTGTCATTACCTCTAAGGAAGATGGGGAATTTAATGCGAAACATAATTGTCTCATTTTGCAGTTTGTGTTTTGGTACTCTCTGCTGCTAAAGTAGATTTAAATATCCCACCCTCCAAGCAAGCCATTGCTAGTGCAATAATTTACATTCTTTTCAGTGGAAATAAATAAATATACAAATAGGCGAACGAGCCTCTGAAAACTAATCCTTCTATTCAATATTCTAAGCGTGGAGAACTTTTAATATTCTCATTCAGTGCTGACATGAGCTCTTCCCCCCCCCCCACTCCCAGCAGATTAATTATAAATCACCTGGCATCAAGCCAAACCAAATCCTAATTTGGCATAACCTGGGAAGTGTGATTGTTCTCTGTGATCCTTCTCCAGGAAGGATATTGAAAAATGTCTTTATGGAGGTTTTGAACTCTCTCCCCCACACACATACACATAGATGCATAGACATACAATCACAGAGATATATAGACATATAGACAAAGAAATACAGAACACATAGATGCATAGACGCATAGATATATAGATGCATAGGCATATAGACATATAGCAGTAGCACTTAGACTTATATATTGCTTCATAGTGCTTTACAGTTCTCTCTAAGCAGTTTACAGTGTCATCATATTGCCCCCAACAATCTAGGTCCTCATTTTACCCACCTCGGAAGGATGGAAAGCTGAGTCAACCTCTACATAGATACATAAACATATACATGCATAACAGAGGTGGGTTTCAGCAGGTTCTGACCAGTTCTGGAGAACTGGTAGCGGAAATTTTGAGTCGTTTGGAGAACCGGTAGTAAAAATTCTGACTGGCCCCGCCCCCATCTATTCTCTGCCTCCCAAGTCCCTGCTGATCGGGAGGAAATGGGGATTTTGCAGTATCCTTCCCTGGATTGGGGAGGGAATGGAGATTTTACAGTATCCTTCCCCTCCCATGCCCACCAAGCCACGCTCACCAAGCCATACCATGCCCACCAAGCCACATGCACAGAACCGGTAGTAAAAAAATTTGAAACCCACCACTGATGCATAATAGGCATAGAGCAATAAAGTAGCTTATTGAACACTTCATGTGTGGATCTGGTTGTTTGTGCCTATAGGTGGCCCTATGTAGAGTGCATTACAGTAGTCTATTCAGGAGGTGACTAAGACATGAGCAGAGTTCACTTCATTCCATCAAATGATGCAATTACTTCTAGATTTCTGGGGCTACAACTGAATTTTTGTGCTAGAATTCTGATGAGAACAAGTTGAATGCACAAACAGAGACACACTTTTAAAAATATTACTCCGAAGCATAAATTACATTAAAAGTCAGCAAAGCAGTGATTTTTAAGATCAGTGAGCCTCTGATTATGGCCCAGCAATTAATCCCTTCTCTGTGTCAAGGACCTCTGCACTTCCATTTGGGGCGGGAAAACAAAATGCCTTTCTGCATTTCTGATTGCATAGTGGAGGTAGTCAGAAAACAAATGTCTTTGCAAACCTACTGAGAAACTATTTTCCATAACTGCTTATTATTTTGCCCGTAATCAGACATACAAAGAGAGAGAAAGAGCTGGGGATAGGTCAGGAAGGAGGCTTGGAAGGAGCAACAGGATAATCTCCTCCTCTTGAGATCCCTCTGGGAGGTTGATTGCTAAGTTGTCCAGATCATCTATATTTTTTAGGTCTCCTATTTTTTTGTTTGTTGATATACTTGGCAAACAAATAATGTTCACCATACGTGGGATTTCATTATGCATGATTCTGAGCAACAGAATTAGTAGTAAGTTGGAGTAATAGGGAGACGGGAACAGTTTGAAGTTAGAAATCCTCCCCCATAAAAATCCAATGTGCATAGAGCATTTGCATGCATGCATGCATGTGTGGTAAAATTAAACAGAGTAGTGGTGTATGTTGTTATTTTGTTCAGGAGGTCATTTTTGAGGGGACAGACACTATTCTCTTGGTGGAAGAGTCAAAACTCCTGGGCATATTGCATCCTGCAATATCAAATATCAGTATTTAGTTCATGCAAGATCAGTAGAGAGAGCCTTCATCCTATGCTTTGGAAGGAATGGATTCATGTGTGCACAATTGTCGAAGTGTGAATCAGCCTCGTTCCCCCCACTGGGGAAACTGTAATTAATTAGAGGTGAATGGATCTTGTTTTCCATGCTGTATACTTTCAAAGAAAGGAAACCCGAATGTATTCTAAGAAACATTTTATTATAAAAGTAAAAAACTAGCTAACTACATTTTACCGGCAGTTATCTCATAGACGAACAAAGGAAGTATATATCAGGAAGTTAGAAAAGAAAGAATGTAGACATGCGCAGTAGTCCAATGCCTCACAAGACCAGTCTTATCTCAGTTGCTACATATAAGTTATCTGGCAGACTACCGTAAGTCTTAGGATGGAAGCTCAGCTGGCAAACACTTAACGCAGTGACAACAATAATGTGTGTGGATGTGGGTGGGTGGGTGTGTGCCTATGTCTATGTGTTCAGAGTGGTTGATATAACATAGAACCTTAGGAAAAAGCCAAATCAGAGTAGAATACAGAATGCAGAATGCAGGTTACAGAATAACAGAGGTCTTCTAGTCCAACCTATACCAAGGAAACACAAATAGGCCCTGGACTTGCAGATGTGTACAGGTTCAGTATTCCTTCCGGCTGGCCATGGTAGTTGAAGCTAGTGGATTTGGTGGTTTTGAAATGGTGGAGGGACCCCTTTCCCTTCTGCCCTGCTTAGGGGAATGAGCTGTGTGGGAGAAGGAACACATCTGTCAATTGGACTGTCGCTTCTCTATGGGTTCACTGCTCCTTTTTACACATCACAATCGAGGCCATGAATAGAGTTCATTGTGGGGCAATTCAAAATGATCTCTTGGGACAAGAAGGACAAGGGCACACGTACATCTGGAAAGGATAATTATGGGTAAAACGCATGAGTTGAATTTCTCCAAATAAAATCTTAGATATCATTTGACCAGTTGAAGTTGTCTGAAGTTTGCATGAACTTGCTTCAGCTGTTTTTCGAGGATGGGCATATTCATATTTAAAACAGTAGCATGGATTTACATTTAAATCCATGGAATGGATTTATGTTTTATTTCGTGCCTGTTCACCACCCTGAGTCCTTCGGGAGTAGGGCGGTATACAAATTTAATAAAATGAAATGAAAAAAAAATTATGTTTAAATTGGTACCATGGATTATCATACCCAACCCAGCCTCTCCTTTCAGACTTTTTTCTCCCTTCCCCAAACAATTTGCTCATTATTTTATTCTTTAAAAAACTGTTTTAATCTTGTTGAAAGAGGACCAACTGTAAAGACCTTAGTAATAGTGTCACCTTGAATTGAGTAGGATTTGGTATAAGCTATCTGCGGGTATTTTACCTGGTGAAAAGTTGCAGATGCCTTCCTTCCTCCCTCCCTCCCTCCTTCCCCCTTCCTTCTTTCCTTCTTTCCTTCCTTCCTCCCTTCCTTCTTCCCTCCCTCCCCCTTTCTTTCTTTCTTTCTTTCTTTCTTTCTTTCTTTCTTTCTTTCTTTCTTTCTTTCTTTCTTTCTCCCTTCCTTCCTTCCTTCCTTCCTTCCTTCCTTCCTTCCTTCCCTCCTTCCTTCCTCCCTCCCTCCCTCCCTCCCTCCCCTCCCCTCCCCTCCCCTTCCCTTCCCTTCAACGGTGGGTTTCACGTTACGTTACTAGCAGTTTGCCCTGCATGCGACCCCAGTTCACGCATGCACCTGCCACACATGTGCCCGGTCTTCCATGCATGTACTTTGCTTGCACGTGCACCTTCAGCGCATGTACCCAGTCTCAAATACATGCCTAAATAGGATGGCATAGAGCTGGGGAGGGGGGAGGGAGAGGGGGGAGGGAGAGGGGGGAGGGAGAGGGGGGCGGGCCCACCCGCGATTTCTGCTACTGGTTCAGGCGAACCGGTCTGAACCAGATGAATGCCAACTCTGCTTCCCTCCCTCCCTCCCTCCCTCTCACCTCTTCCTCCCTCCGCTCTTCTGCTAATCAGTTCTCCATGTTATGAGTAAATAAGACCTTTAATGTTAAACATTTTTGTGTATCTTTACACAACAGTCATCATTTATATATTGGTACATGAACCCTCCTCCCCCGACAAATGCCCAAAACCAATAAAGAAAGTTATCATGGTGAGGGCAAGTGTCTTATTTTGTTATCATGGAAATAACGTTGAGGCATCTCTTAACATTTCATCCAGATAATAATTGCTTATAAATGGCAGAGGTAATCTTCGTTCAAAACTTAAACAATGTGTGGACAGGGACATATTCCTGAGAGGTGGACATTTCTAACGAGACTTTTTCCCATTAGGAAATCAGTGACAATGAAATCTTAGAACTGGTACACAGCGCTCTTGGACGGATGACCGTCATACGCCAGATCTTTCCTGCGACCCGTGAGAACAATCAGCGGTGCATGAGAAACAACCATAGGATATCATCCCTCCTCTGTGACCCACAGGAAGGCTACCTTCAAATGCTTCAGGTCAGTAGTAGATCTCAGGATTGAGATGATTCATTTTTTTTTCCCTTAGGAAGGTGTCATGATGTGTGATCCTGCTAGAACAGGGGTCTGCAACCTTAAGCACTCAAAGAGCCATTTGGACCCATTTCCCACAGAAAAGAAAACACTGGGAGCCACAAAACTTGGGTGGGCATGGCCAACTCAATGTCATTCACTTCCACTCACTTCCACCAGTTATATGACCCCCGACCCAACCCATTAGGGCAGAGAACCAGTTGTTAAAAATCACCGGGAACCACAAAACCCTTTTGACATCTCTCTCTCCCTCCCTCCTCCTCTCCTCACCTCTCTCTCTGTATCTCTCTGACTCTGCCCCAGCCACTTCTCCATCACTCGCTATCGTCCTTACCTTCTCAGGCCAGGCAAGGAGTGAGTGGGAGGGGAGGGCCAGCCAGTGGTGGGATCACCCGACAGGGAGCCACAGCAGAGGGCCCAAAGAGCCGCATGCGGCTCCGGAGCCACAGGTTGCTGACTCCTGTACTAGACACTGCAACGTTGTAGAGGAAAGAAAGGGTTAAATCTCAGAGTGCTCTGGTTATCAACAATTGGGGCATGTATCATCAACCAATTGTATCTGCACCCCTTGAATCTCTCATGGGATGGTCTTTTGTGCGAAACAAATTGTGTTTCTTTTGCCAGTGGTATCCATTCATGTCATATGCTCAAATGTATGGGTCGTGGGAAAGGAATATAAGTTTTTTTCTTCTTCGAGAGTTACATTGAAACTTCGCTTTTACTGAATTTCATTGGAAACAGTGAAACATGATTTTCTGTTTGGTAGATTTGAACATAGGAAAATGTATTCACATAATCTGGAATTCTTGGATGGCAGATGTGATTCCAAAGAAAATTGGGTACTTCTAAAGAGCCTTGGTGGTGCAGCAGACTAAAGTGCTGTTAAGTGCTAGCACTTAGCTGCCAGCTGCCTGCAATTAGTGCAAGTTCGAATCTCACCAGGCTCAAGGTTGACTCAGCCTTCCATCCTTTCGAGGTAGGTAAATTGAGGACCCGGATTCTGGGGGCAATAAGCCAACTTTGTATAGAACAACACCGCTTGGGGGGGCCCAAACCCATAATAAGCAGGTATATACAAAAAAGTATGCAGGCTATTGCTATAATGCATTGTAAGCCACCCTGAGTCTACGGAGAAGGGCGGCATATAAATTGGATTAATAAATAAATAAATAAATAAATTTTTGGACATTTACTTCCATGTCAACATGCCATATTTTTAAAAGTATAAAAAATTGAACTATTCAGGCAAACTTCCTTAAAGAAAGGAATTTTGTATTTGATGGTGCCATTGTCAGAAGAAAAAAATAACACAGAAAACAAAGTATATCTGAAGTATGTCTTAATAGCTCTATAGAGTGTGAATCATTTTAATATTTGTCTTTGCATGCTTTATTTTTATTTACTGGTTTTTCAAATTACCATAATCAACTAAGATTCCAATCAGTTAACAACATAATGCATTAAATGTGTACCACTTGGATATAAAATTCATAAAGTTGTACAAATGAAATCACCAACCATTAACCTGAAACCTGAAAAATTATAAACATGACAATCCCACAATTTTCTCATGGAAACCTATATTTTAACCATAAACAGAATGAATGTCATCAAAGCAAGGACCAACAAAACTCGGGGAAAGCTCTTCTATAAAATACGATATAGCATCCAAAGAATGACTTGTTTATCTTTGAGAAAATGTTCAGTCTCTTAGTCCAAAAACTGGGAATTTATTTGGAGATCTGAGCTAATGGGAATAAGTGAAGCTCCTATCATGGTTTTGTTTCTTCTCTTCTTTACTAACATTCATTGCTTGCTGAGGCAGTGATCACCGTTGGCTTCCCACTAGCAAGCAACACATGTATTAAGCCATAATTCTGTTCAGTCATTTCCATCTAGCAGCGTATTTACTTTGAATTTAGGAAGCTCCGGCATTCTTGGACTGCTACAAGAACATGTTACAATTACAAATTTCATCTGAGTAACTTCTAGGAAAGAGTTGTACAGCCTGAGGCTCCAATCCCAAGCAGCCTCTAGAGGCTATCAGAAGTTTGTTCCCCATTAAATATGAAAAGACTCATGTTTTACCATTGTCAATAGACTAAGCTATGTGGCACTTACCACCAATCTTTTGGTCCGTATCGTTTATTTGCTTGCTTGAATGATAGATTTTTATCTCAGATTTTCCTTTAGGAGATCCGGGGCGGGAGGGAGGGAGGGCATTCTCCAGCCCCAACTTTAAGTCTCCAAATAACCCTGTTGGGCAGGCAGAGAGTGATTGGCCAAAGACACCTGTGGATGAATAGATCTGAAACTGGGTCTTCCTGATCCATTCCAGCATAATAACCAACCCCGGGAGGGACAGAGATAGATCTTATCTGTCACTGTTTGGACATAATATCAAACTGAAGGCTACAACTTGGCAGCCCTATTCAGACAAAAACTATCTGTCTTTTTTCTGTGTAAAGTATCATCCTGGGATTACTGCTTTAAAAGCTTGCCCAAAGATGATATTTCAACATGCCACTTAATCATCTCCATGATTTATTTCTTGTTCCATGCAAACATTTTTTTTTTGAGCTGCCCTAGGAGTCTCCTCTTTGCAAACAGATTGCATAGATCAAAGCAATTCTTTGCTCTGATCTGTAAGAATTAATGACCGGTACAATCTTGCTTCTCTAGCACAACTAAAGGTCCTTCTACTTCAGCTAAAGCATCCCAAATGGGCCAAGGCCATCAACCTTGGCCTTGACCATCATTTCACTAGCAAAACAATTAAGAGTGACTTCTGTTAGTGCAATGGTGGTAGCACAGCTAGTTGCTGAGGCAAGTCATCTTTCTCAACTTTTCATCACAAAAGCCCCTTAAGCTAAGATTTGAAAGAGTTGCTGGAAGAACAATACCAGTGGCCCATAACAGAGTAAGCCACTTCCATGGTTAATATATTGGAAAAGTGTTGAGCTTACAAAGTCCCTGACGCTTATCCATGTTGATCTTCTTGTCTACATTATTGGTCAACAGCAATACTTGAATGTTTGTTCGTTCAGGACAGTAACAGTATATAAAACCATGGCCAATTTTATTTTTCCAACACAACTTTTGTTTTGGAAGTACAGTGATGGCCCTTCTGAGTGATATAATATCTCTCAGTGTGTATACATCTTAGCAATTCAATTTTACTTCTCTATGGTCTTTTCTATAGCCACTTTCTGTTGAAAAGGAATTCTTCTTTGGTTAGATGATATAAATCCTTTCCTACTTCCCAGTTCTTCAAAGAGAGGTGTCATGAGCTGATTGCTAGTGAGGCAAGAAAAGCAACGGGTCTCAAATCTTGCAGAGGTTTGCCAGAAAAGGTTTGCAAAACAGTGAAGTTCTCCCAAGTATTGAAATAGTCAGTTTTACGAGAATAATTAGGCGAAAACATCAGCAGTTCACTGCAGGGTTGAGAAGGCACACATTTCATACCAGTGGTTAAGAGCAGAAGACAAGAGTGATCAGATTTTCTGGTCCAAACAGAAGGCAGGATCTTGAGATGTTCAGGCAACATTTGACAGTAACCTAGAGAGAGGTTGTCACAGACATTGTCTCAAACAAAGCTCTTGACACCACCTTCGTACAATCAGGAGCTGTGAAACTCAGTTCTGGTATGCCTCTGATCCTGAGGTTTGGCTTCTCCCAAATTAGGTCATTCTGATGTCTCAACTCTTTCACTTCTCCCTCTTTTTCAAAGGAAGAAACATCTGAGAAAAAAATGTGACGAAGTCTGAGATTAAAAATTAAAGCCAGAACGTTTGTATCAACTATTATGTATGTCTATATACATATAGTCATATAAATGCACTCACATTTGACTAAGACTGAATCTGTACCTGGGATCTCTAGAAATCTTTGCTAATGTTAGAAGGATGTTGATTTTGTCTGGGTGAGTTTAGATATACAACCATGAGTTACTGAAAAGTTGTTCCTTACTTAAAGGGTATGAAGAACAGAGACAGAGTGAGGTTATTTAAGGGGTTATAACTGTTGTGTAAAGGAGAAAAGGAAATAAAAACTGAGTATCAAGAAAAACTCTTGGCAGGGTAATCCATTAAACTATGGAAGAGCTTCCGAAAGAAGTGATAAAGGTCTTATCACTCAAGACTTAAAAATGAAAGTGGACAGTATAGCAGAAAATAGACGTGTAAAAATTGTATCTGTCAAGTTACTCAGAGATCTTCTTCTTCCTAGCGCAGGGGCCTGCAACCTTAAACACTCAAAGAGCCATTTGGACTCGTTTCCCACAGAAAAGAAAACACCGGGAGCCACAAAACCCTTCCCGTGCCTGACTGTTTCTTGAGCGGCCACAAAACTAGCATATGTAGTTGAAGTAAACATTCTGTTTTTTTCTGAAACTTTTCTCTTCTTGGATTTATCCATGGTTGCCCTACCGAGGGTTGAAAAGCTCAATAAATTGCATGCCAGCGGGTGTCGCACATTGGCGGTTGTGACACATATTTTGAGTGACAGGGAGCCACAGCAGAGGGGTGAAAGAGCCACATGCGGCTCCAGAGCCGCAGGTTGCTGACCCCTGTCCTAGCGTATTCCTGCAGGTGCAAGGTCTGCTTTTTGGATCATTGAACGCCACTTTGTACAGTCAGCTGCATCTCCAGGGCCCATGGCTTGCATATCTTTGTTGATGGTGTCTTACCATCTCTGTTTTGGATGCCCACGAGGTCACCGGTCATTGACTTCTAGTTGGTAGGCAGTTTTGGCCACAGTGGAAGATGCTGCTCTCCGGATATGTCCATACCATCAGTTTACTCAGATATGACACAGACTAAATTCATTTGAATTTTGTTTTGTATTTCTGTTATAAAAAATTGTGCAATTTAGTCTGTCTCTCCCTCCTTTTCTTTTACAGCATAATTCATTGGCTGCACTGAAATGTTTGTTTCCCATAATTCATT